ATTAATTTAGAATCTGTGTGCAATATATTTGAAAATGTATCTTGTTTCTTATTTTGGGTAGGCGTTAAGGAGCAGTGTCACAGATAGAGCTATTCTCAGACTGTTTGGCTGCTTAAGCTTTTCCTTTTGTTATATTGCAAGTCCCAGTTGTAAAGTGGAATGTGGTATGACTTTCCGGGAAGTACTGAAATGTTACTCTAAAAATGCCTAAATAGGAATAGTGTCATCAGTTAGTGACTAAGGATAACTGAATTCAGCTCAGCAATTCTTTAATTTTCTTGTTTTCCTGTCTTATTATGAGACAAGCTTTTGGCAATCAGTGGTGAGCATAGAGGAAAGGAAAGGTGAATGCTAATAATGAAGGAGAACAGGAACTACAGGAGGCTTTGTTTGTTTCTTTTAGTTGTTTTGTAATTAAATCTGTTGTTTCAGTGAACAGGCAAGAAGCAGTGACATGCAGAATTGCACGTTGCTGGCAAGATGCTGACCTGCTAAAATTCCTTTCATTTATAACATATTCCAGAAAGAGCTTTTGAACATAAGCATCATGTTACTAATTAGCAAGCTGCTCTTAGAGAAAAAGAGATTGCAATACTTCTGAAACTGGAGTTTGTCCTTTGAGTACAGTAGCTTAGTTGGACTATAATCAGAAAAAAATGACTGTTTAGGCAGTGTCAGAGGATCAGTATTCTATATATTTTTTAATGACTTCCGTATATATTTCCTTAGATGATAACTCAGGATATTATTTTTCAAATTGCAAATCTTGCGCGTTTCTCATAATTTGAAAGCATGTTCTTTTCTTTTTCTTATGAGTAATGCAGATCTTTCAGTCAGAACTTTGCAAATTTTTATTGATGGTGCAGCTATCCAGGTTTTCGAAACACCATAACCAGAAGGAACTATGACTACATCCTGCTTACTACCAAACAACTTTGAGGTACACAGACTATTCCAACTTTGAGCCTAATCTGCATATAAAATGAACTGTTCCAAACAGGAGATTTTAACCACACCTTCAACTCTCCTATGAAATATGAACTTTCATTTCTACCCAGGAGAACTTTTACAATATTTTCTCCTATGCCTGAAGGAAGGGTGTTTGTGCCTAAAAGCTTGTAATTAAATTTATTTTATTTTTTTTGCAAAAATCTTGTTGGTCTAATAAAAGATATCACCTCTACCACAAGTCCTGATTCCTATTGATGGTACTAGTCATGGTGCATGCATGCATGAGGTGAAATCCAGTTTGGTCATTCACAATTTCAGCTGTGTTATAGATAGCTATAATGCAGCTATCTTTAACATGAAGACAAAAGATACTGGCAGATGTACTACAAAATATTGTAGGAATTTAAAATGCAAAGTCCTATGTGGAATTCTGGAATTCTTGGCATGTGGTTACTGGTGAAAAGACTTGCAGTGGTACTGAGTGAGCCCCTAATTGTAGAGCAGCACTAACTGAAGAGCATACTCCTTTTCTGTTGCTAGTATCACAGGCAGCATAGTTTCCTCTTTTCCTTGATGCACAAGACAGCTTGTGCATAAGTTAAACAACTGAGCTTTCTGTCTAAGCCTTCCCCCACACTTTGTCCACCTACCAGAGGAAAATAAATGCCCCTTGCCTTTCACTGTCTCCTTACCATTTTCCTTTTAATGTGTCTCTGTGCCTACCCTTTCAGTTCCCCTGCAGGTACCAGGATAAGGAAAAGGGAGGGAATGCTTTTTTACCATCTCTTCTAAAGGTCTTCTAGGTGCTTACTCTCTCAAGGCAGTGCTGTTTTATTAAAGCCTGTCCAAATTGAGGGTATAGACACATTACATGATTGCTTCAGAGAAAATTACCACAGATTTTACTCTGCAGGAAATTTACCCCATAGGAAGGAACAGATACAAGATCAGCCCTCCTAAGTTAGCTGCTCACAGTAGTCCGTATTATAGCACTTGGCCACTGCATTGGCAAGGGAGCTTGGGTAGCACTGAGCAAATAGCTACCCTGGGAGGAAGTGGACTTGGGGAACAGACAAGCAAAATGTTTTACATAGTAAGGTACTCCACTTTTTTCAAGGAGTAACTTTCCTCTTTGATATGAATCCTCTGTGATTTACAATATAATAGGGCTGTGTATTGTGTATCCAATCCATTTTTACTATGCAGTAAGTCAGTTTGCCTATATTTTAAATATGTTGTGTGCCTGCACCCATGGGCTAAATGCAAACATCCGGAAGATTAAAGCAGGTTCAAAATGGCCACCTGATTTAAACTTAACTTGTTCCGGTGCCAACCTTACACTTCCAGACCCGGTCTCAGTGACTGGCAGTCAGTCTAAACCTGTAACAGAAAAGAAGTTCCATATACACAAACCAGTTTAAAGATTGCAGAACCTGGTTTAGGATAAAATTGGATCCATGTAGTATCAGACTCGTTTGATTTAGGTCTAACTGTTGCATGGAACTTCCCCTGCACAGCCCCAGGGCTGGGAGAAACCAGCCACTGGCCCGAGCCCCAGGGTTGCTGTTTTCACTCCCCCTTCCCCTGCACTTGTCTAGCTTTTGCCCCCCCAGCCTCTTGCTTCCCCCAGCCAGTGCTCTTAACACCCATCCCACAAGCTGCTCTGGGTGCAGCTGCTTTTATTGGTGTTCACGGCTGCTGGAGCCGAGCAAGTAAGTCCTGGGGGGGGATGAGGGTGTTTTTTTGCTAGCAGGGCCCCCTCCCCGCCCCACCTGCAGGTCGCACCTGCTTCCCCTAACTCTCATAGGTTGTGTCTGCCCCCTCCACCCCACCTGTGAGTTGCACCGCCCCTCCCCATCCTGACTTACCTGATACCGGGCAGCCATTTTGAATCAGTTTAATTCCCCCCTAATGCCGAATGTCTGTACTTAGCCTTGGAGTTCCTCCTTCACATCTCTTCTCCCTTCCAGAGGATTCTTCAGGACCTGTCTACTTAGCAAGGGAACAGTGAGCCACAGAAATACCCTATTTTGTCCTCCTTCTTTCCTTTTGTTTTTACACCTGGAAGAAGTCTGGTCCAGAAGAGTGTAAGGCAAATAAGGACAGGACAGGACAGGAATCTTCCAATGCCCTCTGAACCAGAGCCTGTTAAAAATATAGTAGAAATATGAAAGAGTTGCTGTTTTCATAAGACATTCTCAGCCCTGTCTAAACAAGCAATTGATGCTCTTCAGATGTAGGTGAAACAATTAAGATCTGTCAAATTTGTGACACATACCTATCAAGAAGAGAGTGGAGGCATGCTTTTATTTAGTAATGAATTCTGACAGTGGCTAAATTTATGTCTAGTTCTTAAAACTACCAGAATTCACAGTCCTCTCTTCTAACGGGGTTTTTTTCCCATTCATTGGATGATCAAAACATTGGCAATTAAAAAAAAAATTTAGATAAATCTGCAATGTAAACCTACCTGCCATCTCTGTTTTTCCATAGTGGTTGAGGTCTGGCATACATGATCATGAAAATGTCTAATGATTAGTATCTTAAATCCACTGCCAAGAAAATCTTCCTAACAAGACTTTCTTATGGCATATTAGTTCGTGGATGCCTTAAAATTTTCAGCAAGATCCCTAGCCACTGATGTTGTCACTAGACAACAGATGTTGTTTTAACCTTGAAAAGGGGAGTCTCATTCCAAGCATACTCTGGCATTTGCCAAATTCTTAGTTGTTCAGTTATTTAAGGAAATCCTGGAAAGAACATACAGAGAAGAAGGGATGCATTCTGGTGACCTTGTTCTTCCTCCACACTTGAGCAACAATGCCAATAATAAGCTTCAGTAGTGCTTAGTTTTACACAAGGTTTTGCAGTATTCCAGACCTTTTGGGTGTTATCTGATATGCTCCTTTCAATTTTATTACTTGGAAAAGTAATTGAAATAAATTAAGAAATAGAATGATAAAAGCTGGTAGATGATCATGATATTAAAGGAACAAAGCACTATAAGTTCTATTAAAAATGTGTACATTACTAATCTTTATTATTTGGGTTGAATTAACAAAATAATGGACAATGCTAAAGTGTTTAGCCATAATTTGTTTGAACCAAATTTGATAAATCCTCTTAAAAGAGGCTATTAAAGAAAGAAGACAAAGTGAGGGGCAAAGTTCTGTCATGAATCAGAAACTGACTGATACAGAAAACAGTTTAACAATAAATAGTCAGTTCTCATCATGGTTAATAATAAATTCTGTTAAAAGGTTAATACAGAAATTCTGCAGAGTTCTATATTAGAGCTTTTTCTTTATTTCAGTGATTTAGAAATTGAAATTAGTTGAACTTGGAAATCTCCTTTTTTCCATTCTAGGGATTCTTGTAAACATGGCACAGATTTTGTAACTGGATCTGTGGGGGGAACACTTTATAACATTGTGGATCCAGTTAAAGAACTGGGGCTAACAGCAATGACATACTGTATGTCAGTTTATATGTAAATGTGTATTTGAAAGGGTGGCAGTGTTTAACTTGTCTATTTTCTACAGCCATTTAAATAATGAGGGGAGAGGGTACAGAAACAGTTTTGTCACAAGGAGCAGGTATGTATGTGTATGCATGGTGCATTGTTCAGTGTTTGCTGAAGTTTTTAGAAAATCTATTGGTAAATGCTATTTATCATTACAGTTAGGTGAAACTATTAAACCTTCTTAAAAGGAGCAGACATTATTTAAATATTTAAACAGTACTATGGGCAAAGCATAGGAAAAGCTGCCTTTGCTTTTGTTTTGTTTTCTCAAGGATGTGATTTGGGAATGTCCAGAACACTATTTCTGTATGCTTCTGGAAACCATAGACGTAGGCTTCTCCATCCTATTCCACTGTCTTCTTCAGTCTCCATACTCCTTCCACAAGAGCATTTTTAGCTAGGAGGTACAACCATTTCTTAATCTCAGAGTTATATGTCTATCATAGTATCCCCTTCCCCATCTCCCCTAACCCCTTCCCACCCAGTGCATAAAACACGTGTCTTGTTTTTGGAAGGTGGAATGAAGAAGAAAATCTCTTTCCTTGAAAATACTGGTAAGTAGAGGTGCACCAATACATGGGTCTGATATCAGATCAGCACTGATATAAAGAAAATTGACTATCGGAAATCGGCTTTTTTCCCTGATATGGCCAATAATTTAGTTGATAAATGCCCCGTGTCGCAGGGCACTAAGGTGCCTGCTCCTCTAAGAGCATAGATTGCCTGGGGAGAGAGCCCAAAGAGCCAGACAGGAGCCCAGGTGCAGGTTACCATGACAACCGGCTAATGAGGAAATTAGCCGCACCTGCATCTGGTCAGCTGGCTGGAAGAGGCAGGGCCCTGGGCCCACATAAACTCCAGGGCTGGGACCAGGTAGTTCAGTTCCCTGCCAGCAGCCGAAAGGGAAGGAGCCTCCAGGGAGGAATGGCCCAGAGATGTGGCAGCCATCAGATACACTGCCCTTAGGGCTAATGGGGCTCCAGGAGCCCACAAGGTACCCTTGCCTACTAGGCACTTAACACCAGAGAAGAAGTTTTACTCTTTTAAAAGGGGCAAAGCATACCCTGAACTTTTGTGTTACATTACAGCCCAGGGGCTCATGTTTGTTTGCTGTTTGATAACACCGGTGGTTTGGGTGAGGCTATTGGGGAAGGATGAGGCCCCATTGGGGTCCCACTACAGGTGGGGACCCTGGCACCAGAGAGGACAGTGACAAGGGGGTGACCAGGCCCCAGTGCCAGAGGGCGCAGTGACAAGGGGGTGACCAGAGCCTGGTGCTGGCGAGGCGCAGAGACAGGGCTGCGGAGAGCCCAGGGAGGACAAGGGGGCCGAATTATAGCAAGGCTTAGGTGAGGCAATGTCAGTACCATCTGCGAGGCTTGGGACGTGGTAAAGGGATGGTCTGGAGCCACGCATATAGCCCAGAAGTTTGAGTGTGTCTCAGGAGACATCCACCATGAAGTGGGACGCCAAGGGGTCTACAAACCCCAGGGGTCAGCA